AGGCTCTTGGTATGTTGTTTGGCGTAATGTGGACAGGGTGTCCTAAAAAGTTTTAAATACAATAATCAGAATTTTAGGCCTTAAAATCTAAATGATTTAGACAGGTCTTAAAAATGTATGGATTAATAAAGGTAATGTTACTTGTATAAAAAAATGTCTGTCTTGCTTGCAAATCGAAATTCTTAATGGCCTTAAAAAGGTCTAGGAGCATAGATCCAGCGACCAAATGCATCCTGTCTTCACGCTTCACACTTTATTCTCAGCTGGTTTGGGAGTTGTCAGAGTTTAGGCGGTTTAATCAAATCATTAGTGGGTTACTGTTCTCTATCCCTGCATAAAACAATATCGAGACGTGTGCATGGCTTACTACAGAACATACAGAGAGTGTCTTATGAAACAGCTGGATATCTTATGGTAGTGTAAGTCTGCCCAGTATCTGAAGAAAAATGCTTCTCTTTTGTTTTCTCAGTCCAGTTAAAACAGATAGCTGTTTATTGGAGCTCCTGATCAGATCAGGGGATGACATTATGATACACAATAAACTTCACCTTAACTTTTCATAAACACACAGCCATGTTAACATGAAACATGTATGTTCTGCTTCAGCTCAGGCTCATGTATCAGTTATTTTACATTACAGTCAGAGAGAATTCAGAGAGAATCAAATACATCATGGTTAAAAATCTGGTCTCCCGGGGTCCCCAGGAGTACCACGGAGTTTCCCTCACAGATTAAACCTGATCTACAGCTATGAATCATTTTAAAATCTCAGTAATCCACTGATGACAAATAGCACTTAACCAGAAAAACGTTCATCTGAATGGTGTCTTTAGCAGTTTGAGCTCAAACTAATGGTGCCATCTAGTGGATATTTGGAAATAGTACAGTGAATCAGTCACTGCCCTGCAGGAAATTCTCAGTTGAAGAGCTTTTCCAGTAAGATACAGTCACCAGGGAATACAGATAAATATTGATATTGCAGTGAATATGGGGCTGTGAGTTAGTTCAACTCAAACTGTTTGAGGAAACTGATTGCTTTAAATCATTTAAGTTTATTAACTCAAACTATGTAAGTATGAAAAAAATATTTGACTTGAGTACAACTTATTGTAACTAAACAATTCATTATCCAAATCCATCCATCAAATCACAAAAATAGAAAAGATCCTAAGCTACACAGCATTAGCACTGTGGGGCTCACATTTTTGTAATGATATTAAGTCAACTTAAAGAAAATGGGTCAATGGAACAAACAATTATATGACCAATACTTGAAATACTGCACAGATTCAAGTGCACTCAAAACAATTAAGTTATTCAACAATTATTTTTGAGTTTGAGGTTTAATTCATGGGAATGAGTGACTCAAAAACGAAGTAACTTTAACTTACTTCTTTTATCAAGATATGCTGTTTTACAGTGCATGTATAAACAAACGGTATAGGATATGCATGACTAGAATGCTAGGGACTGATATTAGAACTTACCTAAAACTAAAATAGCTGTTTTAACAGAGAAGTTAACAGTATAACAATGTAAAAATAACACACTTCCTTTGCTGTATTACTAACACACAACTAAGTTCTCTTTTTAAATGAATTTTAATTCTTTAATTTTGTAAATTATTTCATGTTTTTTAATTAAACATTTACATTAAAATTGTGTTGATTCAAAAATTGTGTTAATTCAAAACAAACATTATATTCATAATCCTATTCTTATTTGTTTATTCATTTGCACAAGTTAGAAAAAAACAAATATTGCAAGTGTATCAATATTTTTTTACATCCCGAGAAAGAAACCCTCATTTCCATGGGGATGGAAGAAACATCAGATCCTGGCAGATAGACCTGACTTGCTTCCATACTGAAAAACTCTACTGGTATGGCGAACTTCAGGATGTGTTAAGGTACAAAATATTATGTCAAATGATCATAACTATGACATATGAAACAATAAACACAACTTGTCATTCAAAACAAATGACTGCTTGGAACCCTGGTCCAAAAGCTTTCTGGGTAACACTGCAAGGGTATGATGTCATTGTTGAATGCTATGCATGCTGACAGAGTTTGGCATATCAGACTTGTGTGGGCATTGAGAAACATGCTGTGTTACCTTTGTACCGGCTCTCTCCTTTACTAAATGTAGATTTATTTACCATATTTATTTACGCAATACATACTTGGAAATAGAGATACGCACATTCTTTAATCAAGTGGAAAGTCAGATACTTGAATCTGAAAAGTACTCTCTTGGTTTCTCTGAAGGACATTTCTACCGGCTGTTTCTGTGCAAAACTGAAACTTCAAACAGGATCGAGTCTCCCTCTCTTGTCTGTTCTGTCATGTCTTCTTCTTTGATTTTGCCATGAAAAAATTATATGCACCGGTAAATGATGATAAAAACAATATTAATAGCAATAATTCACCTCAAATGCATTAAAACAAAAGCCTTTTGAAAATATAAGAAGTAGAAAGTACAGATATTTCTGTAAAAATGTAGGAAGTAAAAGTAAAAAGTTGTCAGAAAAATAAATACTCAAGTAAAGTACAGATATCTGAAAAACTAATTAAGTCCAGTAAGAAAGCACTTGTACTTTGTTGCTGCCTACCTCTGCATAGAGATGTGTACAGGCCAAACATTGTCAAATGAGATTTTGGCAACAATAATCAAATCTATGGTATGTACTGGTTTAGGATTTATTCATACTGATGCAATTGTCAGTGATTATTTATTTTGGTTTTTGGGTGCACCAACCTTACCGCACCAACCTGGGTTTGATTCCAACCTGTGGCCCTTTGCATGTCATCCCCCGTCTCTTGTCTAGCTTCACTTGTCCTATCAAAAAAAAGGCATACAAAGCCTCAAAATATCTTTAAAACAAAGTCTAAGGCTGATGGGATGATCACTTACAACATGAGAGATCAGTGGTGAGGACAACACAACATCTTATCCGTGAGGAGGAGGATAGAGAGGTGTAGCAGGTCCAAGGGGCACTCATGGCCAATGAGCACAAAGACTGGATGAAGGAAATCCAGCCCTGGCACTGGATCAGATTGGACCCTGCTAACTTAATGGGAAATAGAAGCGTCCCAGTGGCACTTGCTTATGTGGACTGCCAGAGGGTTTTATGTCACAAAAAGTCAGCACTTACTTCAAGTCATTTAACATCTTAAGATCTGCAAGCACTGTAGAAGGCACTGCACGAATACTGGAAACAGACAACCTCAGATGTCTGTACACATCAGACCCTAACCACTGCAGAGAAACATCAAGGATATCATATCAGACGCCTCAAATCATCTTTGAACGGAGACAGGGTTTACCATCTCCCCCCATATACAACCAATGTGACTGACATTCCATACTTTGGTCATGTGATGGCAACTGAACCATTCCTCTCTTGTTGCATTAAGTCCCATCAATGATTCAATGTTTTCCTCAGCCTCAAAAAGCACCTGGTAATATGTCAGAATGTCACAGACCACAGACATCATATACAGTACATTCCAAAAACAGTATTTCAACATTTCCTCCTTGTTTTTGTTCCCAACCTCCATAAGAATGCAGGTTGTTCATGCTGGTTGAGAAATTCCTTCAGACGGAAGCTGTGACCCACTACGCTCTTTGTCCTTGCAGATGGATACTGGAAAATATGTCTCTGTCCGGCAACCAGTGTTCCAGAACAGTCGTTCCAAACCTTTCTCTCTAATGCATTGATTTCCAACTAAATCTACCATACTTTTACAATTGGTTAGGGGTAATGGGAAAGACACAGTGCAAGCAGACAAATTAATAAATAGTTAAGACTGATATCAATTGATAGTATTTTAACTATTTATCCATAACTTCTAATAGCAATGCTTAAGTGGTTAAATAGAAAGCTAAAATTACTTGATAAATGGTTGATATTGTCAGATTAAAGCTGCAGTAGGTAACTTTTATGAAAAAAACGTTCTGTCATATTTGCTAAAACTTATATCACTATATCCTGACAGTAGTACATGAGACAGATAATCTGTGAAACAATCAGGTTCCTCTGGCTCCTTCTAGGGCTCCTAATGGCATTTGCAAGAATACACTGGATGAAAACAACCAATCAGAGCTGAGAAAGATATAAAGACACTTGTGGGTCAGAGGCTTGAAGATAGTTGATTGTTGAATCTCATTCCCAGCGTCAATTATCTGCCTCATGTATTGCCGTCAGGATAAAGTGAAAGTTTTAGCAAATATGATAAAAAGTTATATAAACGTTTTTTTTTAAATAAAAAGCAGCTTTAACATAATGAATGAACAGTTAACAGATAGTTAGCAGAAAGTATTCAGTGATGACAAGGCTAAAATTAGTGAATAAATTGTGCAAGTAGTTAAAAATAGTGGATAAATGGTCCAATATTTGAAATAGTTTGCTGAAAGTTTAAGAAACAATTGTGAAAGACCTAGTGGGTGAAACACTGTATTGCTTTAGCATTACAATGTGAAAAAGATACAAGTAATGGATAAAAATATCCAGCAGTGGCAGCAGTGCAAATGTAAACCTATCCAACCTGACTTGTATATTTACAGTTCAACTATATAAAAAATTAAAACATCCAGTTTAGAATAAATTCAAATGAACAGCAAAAAGAGCCCTCTTGGATGCCCCTATTTTAGATATAACATGATAAAGTCCCCTCTACTGTGCCCTTCCAGTGTAAAGAATGTGGTAAAATGCCCTCTGTGTGCTAGTTCTATCCCTGACTAAGCTTTTTCACAATAAATACAACTTTCTGTGCACTGGAGCTCTTTTTATTTGATGTGAAACTACAATGGTGCATCACTTTATATATTGTTACCACATGGAATTATGGGACAACATTATCTCCTTTCCTTTGGTATTTAAGGAAGGTCCATTGTATCTTATGCTAAAGGATAAGAAAGGAAGCACTGAAGTATTTAGAGAATGATCTTATCACAGCTTCCACTTCCGAGTCATTTCCCTCAGTTGGGAATCTTCCTAAGCCAAAGCTTCTGCTGCTCTGACCCTCCTCCTCTTTGTACTCTTCTCCCACACACAGCACTCGTCTGTTTCTTATCTTCTGTGTTTTTGTTATTTTCCTCTTTGGGTTAGAGCTGTGCTCGGAGCTCCTCCTCCCCAGAACCATTAAGCATTGCTTTCCTCTGTTCCTCTCTCTCATTCGCCACTTTCTCTCTCTATTTCCTCCTCCTCTTCTCCACTTGTTTGGAGGAGCAAGACTCTCTGGCAGACTGTGTATGTTCTGTGCTTGAGGAGAAAAAGAATGACCTGAGGAGGGAGAGACGGGACGACAACCTAAGAAAAGAAGCAAGGACTGCAACAGTGTGGCACAGGAACCAGACAGACATTTTTCATTGCGGAGAAATAACAGCAAAAGTAAGATTCCTCTTCTTGCAAAGAACTTTGTAGGGAAGCGAGTCAAGCACTAGCTATGGTCTGTTGATTCCAAACTGTGAGTGTAATGAAGCAACCGCAATTAAACAAGATCCAGGCATGTTGGCAGCAGGTCCTTCTTGCAGTTGTTGTGCTCTGACAGCTGGCCTACAGACACATTAAAGACTGCACATGCAAAGACATTCCACTTGGCATCAGTTGTACACCCACTCAACTTCTACAAGTGTAGGACAAACCTTTCCCAGATGTCAGACCTTGAATGCCCTGTACTCTCAGGGTGATAGCTTATAAAAAAAATAAACACTTGTACATCAACAGCTTTTGTTGATGCAGTTTTTATCCAGAGCATGTTCCTTTAAAATTCACATTTCTAGACTAATTCATTTAGGTCTATGTGACAACAAGTGTTATGAGCATATGCTGCTGTGCACAGTAGATAATAATTACTTTAGTTTTGTGGGATTACAGCACCCACCTCACTATGCCAAAGACTGATTTTGACATAATTACATAGATTTTCTGCTTTCCAACTTTATTATGAGCACAAAACAGCAGCCACAGTGCTTGGAGGTATTGTTTTTGTTCAACTTGCATCATTTTAGTATTCACTTCTACTGAGCATTTGGTTTGCACATATACCACTGGACACTATGGACATTTGTTGTTGACATATTTGTATAGTCTGGAAAACATATGTAAGCCATTGTTTTGTCTTCACCACCATTGGCGTCATTGCAGTCAGCTTCTCCTGGTTAAGATTCCTTCAGTGTTCATGGTTCAGGAGGTTTCTACCGGGAGTCCAGTGATCCACAGAGGTCTCCTCCTCTCCAAAACAAACAGATTAAAACCGATGAATAAAAACACTGAATAAAGCAGTTCCACCTTAAAAATCACTGCTTCTCCCACGCTGTTGGACAGACAAAGGACGTCCCGGAGGGGCTGTGAGCCGAGCTGCTGCTAAGGTTAGCTCAGCTTGTTTCTCTGATAACTTAAAGGGGAACTTCGGCAGATTTTTACCCTAGTCTTGATCACTAGAGGTCACCGAGTACTGTCGATAGGAAAAAGAACGACCAGAATTGGTTCTAGCAAACTGGAGATCCTGCAGCTAATGGCCAGAGCTCCCAGTTAGTTATAATACACTTTTTGGGGGCATATTCTAAAGAGTGCCTTTTGCTCCTCTTAACAGACACAAAATGGAATTAAAATGTCTGTGCAACATGATCAGGGCCCTTACGTGACAACAACATGCCTTTTCAACTCATACGTTGTGCAGAAACCGTACAAAACAGTACTGTCGCCTACCTGTTTTTCCACCGCTCGCTTCACCGAAAGCCCAGAATACTCGATCACGGAGATAATGCCTTCACAACGAAAAAAAGTTTATTTCCCCCTCAAAAATGTCCATGTCTTCACACACTACTCTCCGATTTGCACACTTCCTGCAACAATTTCTTCTTCTGCGTTTCCCTCCAACAAGTGAAATCCCACGGGACTTCAGCGTGACTCTGCTCTAGCGCTGAAGTCGATGAAACTCAACTAGAACATAGCTCTAGAGGTTATAGACATTTTAATGCAGAAATGTTACATATTGTAGCTTTAAATAAACTGGTTTAATTTGACATTTCTGTTGCAAATGAGTTAAAAGTGTTTAGTTTTAGGCATTCATTTGGTTCAGAAAATAAAAACAATATAGTCTCCTGGTAGTTCAAGTAATAGAAGATGGAAGTAATTGGGAATGCTATATGGGTGCACAAAAATCTTAACTGTAGAAAAATACATAGTTATACTGTCGGCTTACAGGCAAGTTACTTAATTGTTGACCACGTAACGTTAATGTTACAGGTTTACCAGGTTACCATTACACTGAGTTTGAGTGAGAGGATAGGGGAATGTATCATGAGAGACCCAGTGTAATTAAACAATACGGTTGCAGAGTGCAAACCTTTAACTTTTTTGTCCACTGGCAAAATGGCTAGACTAGTGAATGTTGAAATTTTACCAGCCACTCAATAGATTACCATTGTTATTTTGGCTGGTGAGTGCAGCAACAGTACCAGCCACTTGCATGATTTACAGCATCTGAATGGTGTTCATTTTGTGTCCAGCAGATGTAGCTAACTATAACTGAGATTGGATGATTAGTTATTATTGCATGACTAATAATGTTAATGTACAGAATACAGTTTCCTTTAAAGGAAAGCATTCATTGTGTGTTTTCTTCATATTGCATTGCAATAGCCTGTTTAAAGTGATCATATAACAAACAACTAATCAGTACTGATACTGTATGCTAATAGATAAAGGAGTGATAATAATACAGTAAATGCTTTGAATTTCTTAGATATAGCTGTGCAGTATTCTTAGTAGACTGGATAGCAGCAGATGACAGGAGGCTCATTACAACCAGAAGAGACATATGACTTTTATTTTTTAGAGACTTGAGACTTGACTTGGATCTCTGCACAGAAGTAGCGGGCATTGCTCCGCAAAAATGTGCCTCTCTGTCTCCTCATTGCTATCTTCTGCTCATGAATTCACTGGCTTGAATCAAAGAAGCAACATCTGGCATCTCTCTTGCTTTAGGGAAATGGGTGGATTGTTCTGTTGTAGATGCTGACTCTCAACAGTAATGCAGGCGCTGTACTGGACCGATGTACACACACACAACCTTTTTCTGGCCTGCCGTCTGTATATGCCCTAAACTCTCATTTATACCATGTAATCTTTCATGTTTTCTTTTGTGCAAGTTTTGCAGCCAACGTAGTTTCTCCTACATACTTGGAAGGTGAGCGGTTCACTTGGTTGTAATCTGCAACCTCACCTCTCTCCGTCGGATCACTGGTCCTATAAGAGTACCTAGCTGAGTCCAGAAAATTGACAGTATATAATTAGTGAACAGAGCTTCCAGGTCTAAAAAATTAAGCCAATGCAGAACTGTCTTAAACCTGCATTCTTTCTAATGGCCAGCAGGGCGCAGCTCTGCTGGATCCAAAAAGAAGTCCAAGGTTTATTAAGAAATGAGCCGACTTCTGATTTGACCTATTAGCTCAGTACACAGTTTCCTAATGAGTTTATGGTCTCAATCTCTAGTTTCAGTCTTCTTCCATACAGCATGATGTTCATTTAGTAACTGATGGTCCCATTTAGAGTAAAATAGACCATAAAGCAGGGTATGCTTTAGGGCGTAGCTACTTTGTGATTGACAGCTCATTCTCAGTGAGTCCGTCCAGCTCAACGCACGAAACGCAGATCAAACTGTCAAACTAGGCAGTGCTGATCAGATATGGCTCCAGATTCTGTTACTGCATTGACTATTTCTCACCTAACATCCTTTCACAAACATATTTAGTTTATCTGGAATACAAGAAAATGTTTGATCCTACGAGCTGCCATTGTTTCCTGCTTGAAAATGAAGCCAAAACCAAGCACCACCCAACTAGCAGTATGTCACCCACCAGCTCCACGCTCCAGTCCAAATATGGACACTTCTGGCTCATAAAAACCAAGATGGTGACGACCAATGCCCCAAACCAGCGTGTGATGTCACAAGGTTTTCCACTTGAATACATTTAGAGTTAACTGTGGGAAACTGTGGGTCAGTTCTGGAGTTTTGTAAAACTGGACCTGTGCAGGAAATACACACACAAACCTATTATCTGTAATGCAAAATGAGATACACTCAAGCATGTGGAGGCTTGCACATACAGATAAGGCATGAGTGCAAGCATGCACACATGAACCCACCCACACACCCCAGACATCCACCCTTCCTCCTCGCTCTCCATGTCTTTGTCACGCACACACCCTGCCCCAATTCAGACTCGGAATACGTAAGATTTCAGAGGATGAATGTGAGTGGGACTGGTGTCACTGCTTGTTGGAAAGTAATAAAATGAAGGTAGAAGAGTGACTTCAGTCCTCTCAGAGTGATGGATTGTGAAGCAGTTGAAATTAATTAATCAAAAGAATCTGCTCAACAACCTAAAATTAGCTCAATCATAAACATTTTATTTTATTTTATTTGTGAATAGGAGATGAAAATGAAGTGATGCATTTATTAGTGTGCTCTTAAGAGGGCAGAATAAATTGGACATGTAGCACCCCAACACTTAGTAAACGCCTAAGTCATCTTGGACTTGAAGGATGGGGTGTTTGGGTTTGATTTATTAAGGTAGCTAGTTTACCTGTTTCGTGTGAAACTTTTATAGCCAACACCTTATATAACTGACCCCAGACAACTCTTTCAAATAAATGAAATTATATTTTACTGACCAGTTGTTTGCAGTGTAAAACAACTAATATGTACAAAAAAACTCAAATTACACTTTTTTTTTAAATAAAAAAAAAAAATAAATAAAAAAAAAATATTATAGTTGAAATACTAAATTGTAAACAAAATACCCTGTAGAAAATTAGGCAATTATAATAAGCAAAATACTATTCAAAACTTCTCTGACAAGGGTGTCCGGTTAGCTCAGTGGGTAGAGCTGGCAACCCATGTACCGAGGCTGAGTCCTTGCTGCAGCGGCCCAGGGTTCGAATCCGACCTGTGGCCCTTTGTTGCGTGTCATCCCCTCTATGTCTGTCTTCAGCTGTCACTATGATAAAGGCAATAAAACACTAAAAAATATACTTTAAAAAAACAAATTTCCTAGTTCTAACCCCTTTAATACAATTTCTCTATACTTATCAGACTCAGATCAAATATGCTACTTAACTAAACTCTAAACAAAACAGTGGGCCCACACACACACTCTCACACGCACACAAAAACAAAAAAAGTTGCAGGCCTGTGTGTTGCTTGGTTCGGTGTGGCTGACAAATCTTTATCCTCAGTGGCAATTAACAGTCACATAGTAAATACGATCCGGTCTGGAATAAGTCCTGGAGAAACTTGGTTTACCACACACTTTTCTTCAACTACTATATAGAACAATTTAATGTAACTACTTAATAAACTATTCACACTCTATTTATTATGAATTTATGTTAATCTCTTGGTTAACATTTCATCTTTCTCTGCTTTTAACCTAAATTACTTCCAGTTTAATGCATTTCTGAATTATTTAATTGATTAACTGAAATAATTGTTTTCTTATTGCAAATTAACTTATTTTAACCCCTGTACTTTTACACTGGGCTACATACATATGATCACTCTCTGTGTATTAAACCTTGTGATATAGAAACTTTTACATTAATGTGACATTCGAATCAGACTGGTGTCATCTTAGAAGTGTTACAAAGATTTTAGAGGTCTGACTAGTAATCAGTTATTGGCTGTGGCTGATGATCTCAACTGTAATGGCTGATCACACTCATCAAGGAGGAACTTTTCAACATCACACAATCCACTGAACTTTTTTTTGTCACTGAACCGGAACGTTTAAGTGATAGTTGGAGGAGCAGCAGCTCTCTATGGGATTTTCAGGAGACGCTGAAGAGGAAACTGAGACAGCGGGGATTTCCAGCTGTGCTCTTGTCAATCCAATTGAAAAATGTTTGCTCTCTAGCCTACAAGATGGATGAACAGTGGCATCTCAGCAGGGCGAACACAGACTTTTTCAGAGACTAATTTCATAGACTAAACCATTTTATTCACCAAGGGAGTTTTCCTTGTCAGTGTTTACATAGGGTGACCAGATTTTAAAACCCCTGGGACCCTAAAGACTTGAATATACTCCCAAATGGACGTGTACACGCACAGCTGTGGATGGCCATGTAGTAGTTCTGTTTATACTATTTTCCAGAGGACATGTTCCCCACAGTGTAGTGCATACAGTCTGGACAGTCACAGTCACTTTGTTGGTACACAGATGTCCACACAGAGCCTACGCGTACACGCTGTGATGATGCAATTTACATCACACAGACTCTAACAGACCCTTGTTTACTTGCAGACCTGGGAAGTATAATTACTGCTTAAGTGTACTGCATGTTCATGCAGGCACAAACTAATGTGCTTATGCGTGCACCAAAGCAACATATCAACAACATGGATGCCATGAATGCAGCATTTTTGTTGCTGGGTACATTACAGAGGAGTACGCCTCCTTGAGCTCAAGAAAAAAGTGACTTTCCTTTCAGCATGACAGCCAACTGTTAGAATACTGAAAAAGCTGCAAGCATCTAGCCTATATTCAAGACCAAAAATATTGTACAGGTGTGAAACTCTCATTTCATGAATTTATATACTGATTTACAGATGTGCAAAATTTGTATGTGACCTATTTACTGCTGGAACTGTAGCAAAAATGAATAATAATAAACTATTTTCTACAACTGCAAACTCCACTGTCACAGGTGTTTAGTTGTTTGACAATGAAGATCAGGAAGCAGGTGAAAATGATGTAAAACTTTTACACTGGGCAAGTAGTGACATACTGTCCCACCTCATTTTCCATGTAGGGCCACCAGAAATGCCACTCAGTGAAAAACATGGTCTGTTTAATCCCTGGATTACACGAGAGGAGTGAGGTGTGAGCCCAATGGAACACCTGGGAAGGTAGAGAAGAGGCACTGCCTGGGGCATTGGAGGAGTTCGGACCAGGGCGATAGGACAGAGAAACAATTAAAGACAGGTCCCACCTTGCTTGATAAGGGTTGCACCACTTTGCCATCCCGCCTTTCTTGGGATCAGTCTATACATGAAAAAACTTAAACCCCAACATACTTAATATTTTGATTGCCTCGTCAGGCATACTCGGTACTGTACCACTGGTACTATTTGCACAGTACCACTGTATCAGGCTTTAGCCTGGTATCAAACTGGCATCAGGCTAAAGAGTATAATGCACAGGCTTGTCCACTTTGGGATTGTCATATTTTTTCTCATGTAGGTGTGGCAGTTCCACATTTTTTATGCTCTTTCTGCAGTCAAGATAACAATAATAAATACGCAACATCCAGTTAGACTTAATAAGTGCAGTTTGGTTATGTTTAGGCAGCAAAACTACTTTTAAAACTAGGTTTAGGGAACCATCGTAAGTTACATTCCGTACCTGATGAGTCTACATTGACTTTTGGCTTCACACATGACTTAAACAGCGGTCTCCCAGGTGTAGTCCTGTGTTTCCACTTAAGCCTCTTCCCAAAACAGACTTTGTGACACGTGAGTACCTTTCACATCTAGGCGACACATTGCATCACTGACATGGTGTCCTGTAGTGCCCTTCATGGCCCTTCCTCCAGCTCCACAAAATGATGTAAAAAAATACAATTTAATCCTTCCTGCAAGATAATAATAATATTTCTTTTAAATATAATTATAATTTTTTTTCCTACCCATTCATGCTCAATAAAAAAATAATAATGGCAAAGGTGACTGCAAATGTGCGTAAAGGATTGATAAGAAGAGAGCAGGTTTCAGGGTTTTATTTGTCATTTGGCTATGAACAACAAAGATTATATAAAAGGATGATATACAAATCTATATAAACTGCCATGCAGTTGATTTTGTTAAGTAAGATGTTAGTAATGGAAATATTTTCTGAATATTGCTTTCTTGTAGTACTTGAATGTTGAAGTGGCCGTCTCATGAGATGAGAATACTGGCAGTGACCCCAAGCCAATTTGAATTTGAGACCCCTGCTCTAGTGTACGAGAGAGGTTATACACACTTTGGGCTGGGTTTAGCAGTATGATTATCTACAATAGCAATGCAATGGGATGTCAAGAAGGAATAACTGCAAACACATTGGAGGTTGAAAATGTGTTATCAGGATGATTGTGTTTGGCATTTGTTTGTGTGACACTGGGTCCTAGACAGGTTGGTCATGAGTGGTAAGATGCCCTACTGGTTGAAGGTCATTTCTAAATCCTCATCTCCTGTGTGAAATTAAGGTAGACCGCTGTGAGTCATGGTTGGTTGAACATTGGGCAGGCATGCTGTCTTCAAAGTCCACAATGTTTGACTTCACTGATTAATCTTACCTACACATTACAGATGGTGTATGAGTTAATGTGTGTGTGTGTGCATGCGTGTGTGTTTGTAGAGAATGCCCATATGGATGTGACTATCTTATTGTGTCCTAAGAGGTGAAGTTCAAAGACTCGTGGGTTCATGGTGGAAACTTTAATCCTGAGTTAATCCCAGTTCACTCCAGTGACCTCTGATTCCAATCTTTCCTACACATGGACCTACAGATTGTCCACATTTGTACATGGGTGAACCACATGAAAGAGAACTCTTTGAACTTTCATGTCATTAAATCAGATTTACAAGACTATACACCGATCAACCATAACATTCTGACCTGGTGGTCATTATGTTCTGCAGCTCCATACGCAACAAACTGTGATGCACTGTGTGTTCTGACACCTTTCTATCAGAACCAGCATTAACTGGTTCAGCAGTTTGAGCTACAGTAGCCCGTCTGTTGGATCGGACCACACGGGCCAGCCTTCACTCCCCACGTGCATCAGTGAGCCTTGGCCCCCCATGACCCTGTCTCCGGCTGACCACTGCAGACCGGGAACACCCCACAAGAGCTGCAGTTTTGGAGATACTCTGACCCAGTTGTCTAGCCATCACAATGTGGCCCTTGTCAAAGTCGCTCAGATCCTCACACTGCCCATTTTTCCTGCTTCTAACACATTAACTCTGAGGACAAAATGTTCATTTGCTGTCTAATACATCCCACCCACTGACAGGAGCCATGATAACCAGATAATCAATGTTATTCACTTCACCTGTCAGTGGTTGTAATGTTATGGCTGATCGGTTTCTAGACAGATGTAAAAAGAATTATCTTTTACTTTGGTAAAGGCATCAGATCCACCATGGAATAATATCTGCCTAACAAAAGGTACAAATATATTGGCAATAATATGTATTAAAGTATTAAAAGTCAATTTCTCTCTCTCTTTTTTTTTTTTTTTTTTTTTTACAAAATTGCATACTGGGGGGGGCAATGAAGACTAAAATACCTACAGTTTACCAACATTTCCAACTTACCCTGTTTATGATGTGTGTAAGGAATACTGTTCTTGTGTATTGTAGATGACCACAATCTGTGTTTGGGCCCTATTGGTCCTCTTGGCCTGTCCAGTGGACCCCTTCCGGACCCTCTACAATGACAGAAAAGATCCAGGTCCCAATCAGGACCAAACGGACCCAAAAGACTACCATCAAGATGCCAGGTACCTTTTTAATCCCGTCTGTATTGGGGGAATAAATATGAAGTTCCATGTGCAAAATGGTGGTTTCTGCAAATACTAAAATCTGACTCAGTTGAATGCCTTGGTTTGGTTGTACTGTATGGAAAGGCGCAGGGAGGAGGGGAAGTGTCGACGATGCTGCGACCCAGGAGAGGACACTCCCCATCAGTACTCCAGCCAGAACTACCCACCGTACCAGATAGTACCACAGATCAACATCACTCTGCTCAAAGGTAAGATCAGAGATTTCTATCTGAAAACAGCTGCCTGCTGCGGCCGAAAATGAAGCTGTGAGAGTGAACCATAATATTAAAGTTGTCAAGACAGACGCTTAAAGCAGTGGTTCCCAACTGTTCAGTAGGGGACCCATTTTCTATCATTTAGTAAACTGATAACCCCTGGCTAAGTCACATATTTTATGGATATTTCAATCATCATTATCAAAAACTGTACAATGAATCCAAATAATAAACTGTGAGATGTTTATGCAAAACGAGTCATTTGGACCAATTTTGAGTAGACTGTTTCAGGGCGGCAGTAGCTCAGTGTAGGGACTTGGGAACCAGAGGGTTGGTGATTCAAGTCCCACAGACGACAAAACATGGAGTGTGGACTGGTAGCTGGAGAGGTGCCAGTTTCACCTCCTGTGCACTGCAGAGATGCCCTTGAGCAAGGCTACCTAACCCCAAGCCTGCTCATGGGGCGCTGCTAACGTTGCGGCCCATCACACCACCATCACTCTCCCTGTTTGCATGTCCACAAGTGCATGAAGTATATAGGAGAATAATATATATCTTCTTCTTCTTCTTTCCCGTATAGGGGACTTTTTTTATACAATTTTCTGTCTAAATTATGTATTTTATTTTATTTTTTTAACAATTATACAGACTTAAAAGGCTTCTTTTTTGACAAATTATGTGTTTTCTTGTCCCTGATGCATGGCCATTGCTCTATTAGACAATTTACTTAACCATTTGTTTTACATTTACTTTCTTCCTTTATTCTAAGGTAATGAAATTGCAACGATTCCTATATTCAGGTGATTATACACTGATGAAACCATACCTATGAATATTATATTCCATTGTTTACAATGCTATGATGCAATGCGAGAACACATGCCACAAGACATGACATTTGCGAGTCTAAATGGAACTAAAGAAAACAGGGGCTCTAAATTACTGAACTTTTCATCCACAGGAGTGTTAGAGAACATACACACTAATATAAAGCTAACTCTTGAAGCATCGTTTCTGTTCTCTGTGCTTGTTGCATTTCAGTCTCTCAGCTGGTCCAACTTTCCACACTCGCAAATCTCATCTCTTGTGGCAAGTGTTCTAACATTGCATCATAGCATTAAAAAACTGCAAAATACCCAATTCGGTAACACTTAATAATGAGTACACACTATTAAGCATTAGTTAAGCATGAATAAATACTGAATTCATCATTTATAACGCATGAATACACATTAGTATGTAGTTTATAAACACAGTTAAAAATGTTTTATTCATCATTGATAAGCACATTAGTTATGGATTAGTAAATACTGAATTCATCATTTATAAAGCATGATTCTGCTGTAGATAGTCATTACTGTGTGGTTTATAATCACAGTTATAAATGTTTTACTCTTCATTGTACTGTACATTTCTGCATGCACTTGCACATCCACTATTCAGACATGTATTAATGATTAGTGACTGTGTTAGCAGATGTTCTATAAAACTCACAACAAATTCATTTTCTAATGCTGGCCTATAAACAGTTATTAATGCAGGAATTCACAGTAACAAAGCACTTACTACTCGTTAATTAAGTATTTTGCACAAGCTTATCTAAAGTGAGCACTATCTATGGCTTATTAAGCATTTACAAATGAGATATAAAGGCTGACAGTGCCGAGACTCACATAATGTTATATCCTCATAACTGTCTATAACAATGTAAACACACATGTAGCAGTAGCCAACAGTATAAATCAAAATGTTAAAATACATTTATTGAAGTCGGGTCGAGGCGGACCATTACTGAAGGTGGAAAAGACGACGCCATTTGACCCTTGGCTCACAACCATTACCATGTCATGGTTTTTGATGTCCAACCAAGACCACTTGTGGCTGGGGACACACCAATGCCGACCAATATTGATAACTGACCTCTCACAGTAGGAGCCCCTCAATGGGTTTTTAAGAATCGTCACTACAATTGACCCTTCCTAAGCCCCGTCCCGTTTTGCTCTGTGCTCAAGCCTCGATCAAAACCTCTGTGAACTTCCTCCTTTCCTGTACTTAGATATGCTAAGTGCTAGGCTCTCTATGTTGAACAGACAACCACATTTTGAAGATGGATTATAGATAATGTTATTGGAGCCCAGAGCGAAAAGGGGTGGAGCTTAGATTGGGTCAATTATCAGAGTTTGTACTTGAATGAATGAATGAATGAATGGACATGTTTGGAGTTCAAGCTTATAGCTTGGCAAGAATTTTCAAAATTTCTTGACCACAGAAATTTCTGCATAAATTGCTTTGTCTGCCTCTTGTGGTGACAAATCTATTGATGCAGCTTTAAGAAAAAATAACTAATCATTACAGTTTGTACGTTTGCAAACTAATGCACAGTTTGTTGGTGGCCTTACCCCCACTACATCCTTGAACGTGACTCTTTCGACTGCTTCTAGGTGAGAAAGGTGATATTGGAGACCGAGGGCCTTATGGTAAATCCGGCAGAGCTGGTCAGATGGGTCCTCCAGGTCACACTGGCATGAAGGGTAGCAAAGGCAGCATGGGCCTCCCTGGTGAGTCCTGCAAGTCTTACTTTGCAGCCTTCTCTGTCGCCCGCAAGAAGGGTCTACACTCCAACGACTACTACCAGACACTGGTGTTTGACACAGAGCTGGTCAACCTCTACGGTCACTTTAACATGTTCACTGGTAAGTTCTACTGCTATGTGCCCGGCATCTACTACTTCAGCCTAAACGTGCATACATGGAACCAGAAGGAGACATACCTACATGTGATGCACAATGAGCGGGAGGTGGTGATCCTCTACGCCCAGCCCAGTGACCGCTCCATCATGCAGAGCCAAAGCCTGATGCTGGAACTTGAAAGAGATGACCAGGTCTGGGTCAGACTCTTCAAAGGCGAGAGGGAGAACGCCATCTTCAGTGATGACTTTGACACTTACATCACCTTTAATGGACACTTGATTAAGTCCAAAAATGAGTTGTAGGTAGAAGACTGGACAAGTGTGAGTTGGCACCTCAACAGATTGAATATGGACGAAAAATGGTCTAAAGGGGAGCTTCATTAATATATTATCAATGTGGTTTGAAAAATCATGTCATATAGACAGTGGTTTTGTACAGAAAGACAACTCACTTAAAAAAATTTAAAATTAAATCAAGCCACACAATGGAACTTGCAGGTAATATTAAAGAATTTGTGGCATTCACTAATTGTCTCCTATTTAGAATTTTCTTCTAGGTACGAACAAAATTCCTTAGTGGTTCTGACCTGCCTGTGTCCACATGGGTAAAAAATAAATTACACAAAATTATAATGCCTTAAAGTCCAGGTAAAACGTAAATCAGAGAGCTATTTGCTTCCAAATACTTATTTCCTGTAAAAACAGGCATTTAGGGAGGGACTTTTCGTGGTAGCCAATTGTGCTGTATGTTATGTCAAGCAGCTGTAGAGGACCCATTAGTGCTGACTGGAAGCTCCCAGCATAAACAGCACATCCAGATAGAGACTGAATGCAGCATCTGATGCCGACATAGGACAGTTTGACGACAGGGAATAGTACAAGTACAGAGGTGTTTTTATTGATGGATTTAGCTTCTAAGTGGCAAATGCTATCTAACATTACGGTTGGCGACAAGTCCATCTGGAAATGTACCGTAAATCACCTCAGTACTTAGATCCAGTTTTTCCCCCAATCACTGATAAAGTTGTGTTTTTGTACAATATTCAGCTACCCAAGCTGTTGCTGGCTAGCAAACAAATGAATCTTTGTTCTGTGTCACTAAAATATGAAGATGGCATGATATTATTGTTTGAAATTGGTTAGTTCATGCTTACATAAGCACACGTCTTTTGGATTGGAAATGATTGGATTTTGATATAAAAATACAGTTTTTGTGAATTTCTTGGCATACATTGTTAAAGGGGGTACAATATAACCAAGGATGCAATCATAAAGGGTTAAAATGACATTTGTAGTTTCACCTGGACTTTGAAATGAAATTAACTAAATAAAATTGAAACCAAGAGATTTTATTGGCATAATTTGGCACAGTAAGGTATACAGTATATTTTAGTAGTTATAGACAGTTCTATCACTCTGCACTCAGGGTCTTTATGCAGGTCTGTGTCCAGTTTCATGCTCTGTTGCATCCAACAGTCTAACATCACTGCTTTAGGCTACAATATTATCCCATCTAATATTTCTGTGACTGCCACATGATTGTCTCTTCAGTTCGTCATGGACCCCTTTGTTTAGAAAGACATTTCTATGCCTCCACGCCAGTGATAGCCATAGCCGGAGGAATTATGTTTTTGTGTTGTTCTTCTCTCCCATTCCTGTGAACGCAATACCTCAGGAACGCCTCAAGGGAATTTCTTCAAACTTGGACTCTGGTTAGATTTTGGTTGGCAACTGTCATGTTTGAGGTCACTGTGACCTCACACATTTTCGGCTTTAACTCAAGAACCAATTACCATATTTCACAACTAGTCGGACAATGCATTGGTGACACTTGACTTAAAGGTCAAAGGTCATTGTGACCTCATTATGTCCTGGAAAAACTGTTTTTTGGCCATTAGACAACACCATAACTCAGGAACAGACGGGGATATTGAACTGGCTGATTCCAGCTTTCACACAAATGTGACAAACTCAAAAGAGTGAGTAATTTCAACTACAGCTCACATCTAAAAATGCAAGGACAAATGAGCACCACATTTTGTATAGCTACACTATCTTTACATTGTAATTTTTGTGCCTGTTTAGCCAATACATCTCTGATTAATCAGTTCAAAAATGTGTATTCACTTTAATCATACATATGTACCATGAAATATAGTGATAACCTCCATTTAGCCAAAAATGCAGTTTATACCTTAAATATAATTCTTTCAAAGATTTCACCACATATATTATAAGTGTCTGGAGAGACATGGCTGTAGACTGCAACTTAACTGCTTGCATACAACCACAGGGCTTCATGTCAAACAATTCCTCTTCTGTGATTTTTCAGCCGTTTGAGCTACTGTAGCTCGTCTGTTGGATCGGACACATTGTTGCATCAATGAGCCTCGGCCCCATATGACCCTGTCTGTGGTTCACCGCTTTTCCTTCCTTGAACTACTTTTGATAGGTACTGACCTCTGCAGACCGGGAACACCCCACAAGAGCTGCAGGTTTGGAGATACTCTGACCCAGTTGTCTAGCCATCACAATGTGGCCCTTGTCAAAGTTGCTCAGATCCTCACGCTGCCCATTTTTCCTGCTTCTAACACATCAAGTATGAGGACAAAATGTTCACTTGCTGCCTAATGCAGTGTATATTAAAGTCTGTACAACTAGCTGTCAATAATGTGTCACCAGAAAGCTTCAACCAAACTTTGGGCACCAAATTGTAAAAGAAAATATTTTGTTGAGAAGCTTCAAAGAAATGTTTATGGTATAACTGTTTTTGAAAGATTTAAGTTTTTCTCCGTCCACAGGATTAAAAAAATACACAAACAAATAACAAGATGTATCCAGGAATGCATGGACCACAACCATTTCACCAGTGTTTCAGTTTTTTTACTGCTCATAAACCCAGCTGCTTCCTGTTGTAGAAAGGATGCTACTACCTGTGTCTTACTCTCTTGTTTTAAATATCTGGATATCTAAATATATATCTAAATAACTGCATGAAAGCTAACAACACTGCTGTATAAAAGTGCATGAGGTTAACCATTTACTATGAACTTGTGGCGTATCATTTAAATGGAGGGTCAGTCTCAGTGATGGTCTTATCATTCATATAAACATGTAGCACTATTAAATGATCATTTTACTTAAAACATTTCGAAAGTTATAACTAATATCTTCAGGGCTTCTGTTCCAATTGACCCTTCTTAAGCGCCGCTCCTTTTGGAACCAATGTCAACTTCCTCCCATGTTGAAAAGACAACCAAATTTAATGCTAGCTAACTAACTAGCTACTCTACATCAGTTGTTATCTAGCTAGGTAGGTGGCTAATTCGCTAATGTTTTGCTAACATTAGCTATCAGTAACTAGCTAGCTAATGATTCATGTAAATTAGCTAGCTAGTTAGTGTTACTGCTCTGTAGCAATATGCTGGCTAACTAGCCACTTAACTAGCTAAATGACGATTGATGTAGAATATCATTTATGTGTTATTATGTCACTTTTATCAATCTTATAAATCTTTTCAACTCTCAACGAGCCTAGCACATAGCATATCTAAGTACAGTAAAGGAGAAAGTTGACTGAGGCTTGCTCAACTGTCATTGGCTCACAGAGCAAAAAAGGGCCGGGACTTAGGAAGGGCCAGCTGTGTTTTTTTTGTGCTATTATTACGATGTATTTGACGAATGTTTAAGTACAGTAAACTTACTGTTCTTAGGCATACTGACCTGTCATATTTTAGATGTGGATATTTGTATGGTTGTTTTCTTTTGTTTCTTGCTCTGTTCCTAAATTGTACCATTATTTTGCGACATGATGGGCAAACTCCCCTTCTGGAGTCCCCCATGGGACCTTATTCTCTGAAAATATCCCATGACAATAAAGTTTTAGGAACTGTGCCATGAATTACACATACAGTGTTGTCAATTTAAAAGAGAATTTGGTGAAGAAAGTCACAGTTGTAGTAACATTTATTTTTTTGTGAAACCTCCCACAATATGACCAACATGGCTGTCATCTTGTAACATTATCTTACCTGATGTGTTTTATCCAGCCACTCGTCCTTTTATCAGCCAGAAAGTAAAAGAATGAGCAAGACCAGTTGCTGGTGTGACTACATCCTGGTACGAAACACACAGCATCGTCAAGTTCAGTGTCTCTGGTTAGCTTCTGGAGAGAGAAAGTCATGATGCCACTTTTGGGTTGTCTTTCTAATTATGTTGTACCTTGTACATTTACAATAAACTGTGACTTTCTTGACTTGCAAAATTATCTTTTAAATTGACAAAACAGCATATGTGTAATTCAAAGAACCACACATATTTTTTCTGAAATAAGGTCCCATGGTGGTCCACTGAAAGGTGAGGACTTTGCCTCTCAGTACAGACAGGTGATAAATAAAATGATAAACCACATGGTGTCTTTATAAGCTGCTGTTTTACCATGAGCGGCTCCTGTACGGCTTCAGTGGTCCTTGTCATAGATTTTTTTTTAGAAACATGCTGGTTCAATATGGTGGACTCTGTAGAAGAAGACCAGCTCTCTCTGTAGATAAAACAGCTCATTCTAAGGGAACGAAAACATAATGATTTTTATATTCAGGTGATTATACACTAATGAAAACATACCTATGAATATTATATTCCATTTCTGACAATAGATCCTCCTAAATGTTACACACTGGAATTTGACATCAGTCTATACATTATGGCTAATTTGGAGTTGGGTATGTTTGAATATGGATGTATAAATCACCTCAAGTCTGGTCTCCATTCTTGGATTGGTCATGTGCTAAATTCAATTCAATTCAATTCAATTTTATTTGTATAGCGCCAATTCATAACAGAAGTTATCTCAGGACACTTTTCAAATAGAGCAGGTCTAGACCGAACTCTTTAACATTAATTACAGAGACCCAACAGTACCACCATGAGCAAGCACTTGGCGACAAGGGCAAGGAAAAACTGCCTGTTAAAAGGCAGAAACCTAGGACAGATCCTCCGGCTCTAGGTGGGTGGTCGTCTGTCTCGACCAGTTGGGGTGAGAGAGAGAGAGAGAGAGAGAGAGAGAGAGAGAGAGAGAGCGAGAGACAGACAGACAGACAGGTGCACAGCAACAACAGTATTGGCAATGGCAGTCAAGCAGGACCATGGCAGGAGGCTCCACCAGGATCCATGAGAACCTGCGAGACGAGAAAGCACAAGAACTCCGGGGAAGAAGTGGAGTTAGTAACATGCATTAAAGGGACATGAATGAGTGCAGAAAGAGAGAGGAAGAGAGTAGCTCAGTGCACCATGGGAAATCCCCCGATAGTCTAGGCCTATAGCAGCATAACTAAGGGATGGTTCAGGACTCACCTGATCCAGCCCTAACTATAAGCTTTATCAAAGAGGAATGTCTTAAGCCTACTCTTGAATGTGGTGAGGGTGTCTGCCTCCCGAACCACAACTCGAAGCTGGTTCCACAGGAGAGGAGCTTGGTAACGGAAGGCTCTGGCTCCTGTTCTACTTTTAGAGACTATAGGAACCACAAGTAGCCCTGCATTCAGAGAACGTAGTGTTCTAGTGGGGTAATAGGGTACTATGAGCTCTTTAAGATATGAAGGGGCCTGACCATGAAGAGATTTATAGGTGAGGAGGAGGATTTTAAATTCAATTCTACATTTTATAGGGAGCCAATGCAGAGTAGCTAGTACAGGAGAGATGTGATCTCTTTTTCTAGTTCCTGTCAGTACTTGTGCTGCAGCGTTCTGAATTAATTGGAGCGTTTTAATGGACTTATTGGGGCAACCTGATAATAAAGAGTTGCAGTAATCCAGCCTTGAAGTAACAAATGCATGGATTAGTTTTTCTGCATCTGTCTGTGATAGTATGTGTCTAATTTTTCTAATATTACGTAAATGAAAGAAGGCAGTCCTAGAGGTCTGCTTTATGTGGGAGTTAAATGACAAATCCTGATCAAAGATAACTCCAAGATTCCTGACAGTGGTACTAGAGGCCAAGTTAATGCCATCTAGAGTGACTATATCTTTAGACAATGAGTCTCTAAGGTTTTTGGGGCCAAGAACAAGAATTTCGGTTTTTTCTGAGTTTAACATCAGAAAATTGCAGGTCATCCAGGATTTTATGTCCTTAAGACATGTTTGTAATTTAGATAATTGATGACTGAGACTGGTCTTGGTTTTGACAGGTGTTGGATTTTCAAGACCCTAGATACCCAACTGTGGGAGTTTATAATGGAAGTAAATTAAACCAAATCATTAAAGTTCTAAAATTTTGAGTGAAGGATGTTTTCACATTCTTCTGCTAAAAGTGGAAAGTTTTTCTGTGCTCACTGAAAATCAGATTTTAAGGGGCGGGGCCTACCAGCATGATTTGTGACATCACAAATAGTTAGGAAGTCATTCCTGGTCCAGTATGTAACTTGTACAGTGTGATGTAGAAACTTGAAGCCACCAGTGCACATCCACTGAGAATGGACTTTACAGTGAAGAAAAACAATTAGGATTCCTACATTTATACCTCACAATAAATAAAACTGTTTTTAAAATTGTATTTCTCCATAAGTATCTGGTGGGCCAAATCACACCTTATGGCTGGTCAACTTTGCCCTTCGGGCCCCACTTTGGGTGGCACTGCTCTAAACACTCACTGACCGAGTGTCAGGGGCCACAAGGGGTTGTAGTCGCACCCGGGCGATGTCACCACTAACATCTCCAACAACTTGAAAACATTCAACACATAATTTTCCTATATGGGCTCATTTGAAGATACACATTTCATCATCATGTGTGTCTGTGCTCAAGGCACTGTAAACTGTGGAAGCCAGTGTTGATTCCACCCAGACGCCACATGATGGCACACTTGACTGCAAATTGCTCTGAGTGAGGCTCATGCAAGGCTGCGCTGAGATCAGATGGATGCTATTTGTAACATTAATAACACTGACACCCCAGGGCTTCAATACTGTTAGGTAGTCAATAGGGCTGTCAGCTGAACATGCAGGAAACTAAACAGCTTCAATCACACTCTTTTACCACAACCATTAGCTAGACCACACCTAATGTGTTGCAGAATGAAAGTTGGCTCCAGTCTACTCTCTGTGTGAGACAAATAACCACAGCGTCTCTCAACACAAAACATGAATAGCCTCTCATTTCTTAGAGTACTTAAGAGACAGTGACTATCTCCAAAAGCCTTGTTCATAACTTCAATGAATAATTTCAATTCAATGTGTTATCTTCTCTACTGAAAATGACTAAGAGTTGCTTGGTAAACAAAATTATGACACAACATGTAGAAAGGGACTGGAATGGGTGATTGAATGGCAGTTTTCAAGATGTCCCTTTTATGTGTGAGGTTTCAAACCAACATGGCAACACAGTACAAAACCAAGAGAAGCCTAATGAGACACACTCCCTGCTTGATATTTGCTAACATTAGGGTTTCAGCAGGTTTCAAAAGGTTTAATTTAAGACTTTTTAAGACCATTATGAATGTATTTCAATACATATTTTACATCCATACTGGCAAATAACAATAGATCTTTATTAGTTTCATGTCCATGTTGTTTTGAGTTGTTACAGCATGACCAAGACAAGCTGAAAAACGCAAATTTATACAAGTAACTTTAATCCAATCAATTTTTAAGACCTGTCAAAATCATGTTTAAGGCATCTGAAGACATTTGAAGGCCTAAAATTCTGATGATTGGATTTGAGACTTTTTAAGACCCTGTGGACACCCTGTTATATCCTTCCTTAGGTTTCTTTTTCCTCTTCACAATTAAAACTGTTGCACAACTCTTCCCCAGTGCACCATGTTTTTTTTTATAAATTAACCATAAAGCATTTTGTATAGCCTGCTTGGGAAAAGTTGTGCAACGTGTTTTAATTTTGCTGGATTCAAAGAAGCTCATACTGGTCTGCATCTCACAATGTGTGCTCATCTCAAAGTTAGACATTTATTAAAAATCTTCTAAAACATCCATTTTGTTTCCCCTTAAAGGACCAGTATGTAGGATTTGGTGCCAACGACTGTGTAGTGTAGTGCAGTGTAGTTGCAGATAACAACCCCCTCACTTCACTCTCCCCTTCCAAACGCAAATGAAAAACTACGGTGGCTGCGAATCTATCTATCTAGAGCCAGTGTTTGGTTTGTCCGTTCTGGGCTACTGTAGAAACATGCCAGCATCATGTACCTATTTGACTGCAACTTTGCTGCTTGATAAGGGTTTAATGGTAGCTTCCATACATAGCTATGGGTAGTTTCTAAACAACACCAGCAGTCTGATTTTACCTGCTCAACCACCATCCCATACTGCACTGGTGATAATAACCACACATGGTTATGACAATCAAACAGCCTGTCAAGCCTTCGCAGCATCATATGAGGGTCACTTCTTTTTCCATTAATTTACCAAATAACCGCATTTGTCACCCAACAGCCAGCCATCCTCGTCCCCGGGGGCTTGTGGGTACTTGTGAAATACAGCTCTCAAGGTGCTGGATACATGATTCTATGTGAGGGCTCTGAGCAATATAAATGTTTAATTCAGCAAGCGCTTTGAATGGACTGCCACAGACATGGTGATGTCGTCTATTTATTAGCACATGCCGATAGGAGGCTTGTACTAAATAATCAACCTCCGAGGGGCTACCGGCAAGGCACTAATATTTCAGAGCACATGCCGTAGCTGTGTATATACAGCATAAACATAGATTGTCCTGGTTGTAATTTTCATCATGGTTTATTAGGTATTAAAGATTGAACTCCTGTTTCCCCCCGTGCTTTTTCAGTAATCAGGACGCTATGCAGTCCTGAATAACACATCACCAAAATAACAGACTTGGAAGGATTGTGATTTGATTCTATAATGCTCTAAAGCTCAGAGGTGCTGATTATAGGCCAGGAACCAGGGCCACATAGTGCTGTGGTCTCTCTGGTGCTGAAGGTGGTGCAGCAAGTAATTTTATTGAATTCTTTAATGTGTATTTTTGTTATTAGTTTATGGATATTTACTGGTGTTCCTTAGTCCCCCCCCCCTTTGTTAAAAGTAAAGAGTTTTGTATTTCATTATATGTTTGTTAAATGTAGGGGTAGGTGATATGGATTAAATTAGGGATGCCTGATAATTATCAAGGCTGATAAATTATCGTCTGATAATGGGAAATGTATATTATTATGTATATTCTGATAATTAAATTAAAATAAATACATGATCTGTTGATAATAATAATATATTTTGAATTCTTATGCAAAACATTAAACAGGCTTTATGTTCTACAAAAGTGTGTGTGAAGTTCTTGATGTCCTTGACTAGAAATTATAAAATATTTAAAGAGTCAGAACTGTCTGTTTTTGTTGTGTTAACAATAGTGATGAATAGTGGCATGTGTGGAGAGTCATACAGGTATATCATTAGAGGACTGGGAATCAGTATGTATGAAGGCCCACACTTTTTACAGATTTTTACAATATAAATGGCTATTGAAAATATAAATTACTCAAATTTGAATTTTTAAGTAAGTAAACCAATTCAATAACAATAGATATATTCATATATATGCACAGATTGCACTGAGGTGAAGGGGACACTATTTGATTGTGAGATCAAAAGACCTCAAGTATGCCAAAAGTGAACAAATAATAATGGGCATGAATGATGTGTCATGCTAAAAGCTTGATCGCAGTGTTTTGGGTATAGAAATAGTTACACATTGTATTAGGCAAATGCGAATAACTTTCCCTCTGGAAAGAAGAATGGAAAACAGAGTATGTCAGAAAATGTCTGCTGTCCATTTACTGTTTTTGTGAAGGGTGTGGATCTATTAGATGATGAAGAGGAGGAGAGGGTACTCCATGATGAAAACCTTGCAGTATGTTAACTTGAGCTCAGTTTTGTAAGGACAACAAAATTCTTTTAATTTCATTATGCTGTAAGGTTTATGTATGCATCTAGATTGTTTTATGTCTGAGAAGTTGTTCTTTGTGATCTGTCTTTATTTGGCTTTGGTTTGCGAGGCACTCATTTGTCTGTATGTGCACATGATGTCAGTTAGATTTGATTAGATCAGAGCTATGAAATATTAAATCATCAGTCTTTGGTCTCTACATCTTAACCTTTTTAACTATCAGCTGTGCATAAACTCCATACAAAATTGTGAAATTATCAGTTATCTTTTTGGTATTGGTTCGAGAAGCAGGTAAGTATCGGTTATTGTATCAGCTGAAATTAAAAAATCCACAGCATGCGTCCCTAGATAAAATCCTGAATTCATCAATTATCTTATTGTGCAATAACAACCTAGTTACCTAGTTATTGCACTATAAGATAGTAATAATATAAATACATACATATATATACACATATATATAAGCATATTCAAATTTCTGCAAACTCAAATGAGTAATCATGCAAGAAATCTATTTTGGCTAACCCAGCAAATAGCAGACATATCAAAGTACTTCGTCACATTAATGCAACAATCATATACAAATCCAATATGACTATAAAGCATCTGTGCTCATTGATCGCTAACATTAAAGTGAGAGCTACCAAGGTACAAAATGTATAGCAAAATGTATATTGTCTCCAAACCCAAGTTAAATCTAATAAAAACTGGTTTAAAAATGGTTAAAAAGAGCTTAAATGGGAAGCAATGAAACAAGAAGATGGGTGCGAGATAAAAAGAGGAAGAAAAGGAAAAACAAAGGAGAGGACACAATGAAGAAAAAGTTTAAGACTGACCTCACCCCATGTTGTGTGTGTGTGTGTGTGTGTAAAAGAGTGTAAGCACGGCGATCTTCTTTTAGTCTTATTAATGAGGAATCGAATGCGACATACCCAGAGATGTGCAGCAGTGAGTGTGCCGACACTGCCCCCTGCTACAGTAGATTAAAACAACAGGGCTCTCCCCCTCTCCCACCCTGTGTGTGTGTCTCTCGACTGCCGTCCTCTCCCTCCACTCAGGCCAATCGATGCTGGGACAGAGGAGGCTGTGTCAGCACCGCCGAGAGCTCCCCTCTGCAGCCACAGCACGTCAATGCTGCTCGTCAGCCTCCTTTGTGTGTGTGTATTTTTCATTAATCCTTTATTTAATCATGGAGTCTGACTGAGATCAAGATCTGCTTTTCAATAGACAAAATAGACAAGAAAAAAGAAAATGTTCATAAAAATGTCACAGGATGCGGTTCAGTCACAGGCAGGCAGCAGCAGACGGCGACATGTATTATTAGAAACAATCCAAGTGTCGAGGAAATGACTCAATATTGCTGCTTTACAAATCATTGCAGGAAACAAGGAGGTGAATCCTGCACAGTCTGCATTACACTGCATGGTCTGGTCAGATCCAGAGCTTACAGTGTTCATCCACATCTGCCTGACATCTGCCTGTTCCCTAGGAACAAAAGAAAAAAACAAACATTTAAATGAAAAGTGGTTCAACAGTGTAGCAGTGTTCCACTTCATGATGGAAAGCAAACTAATAATACTGAAATAACCATTCAGCAGCATCCAACATTTACAAACCTCAAATGCAGGTACATTCTTGGTTTTGCAGAAAAATAAACTGGAGTCACCAGCCAGGTGGCAGGTAAAAAATTTGGAATCACAGCATAGGGCCAGGTTTAAATTGATGTGTGTTTATGTGACGCCCACTGTCCGCCATAACTATCGTGAGATCAGTAAATCAAATCAAAGCAGCTTGTCGGTCCCTCCAGGATTTCACTGGCTTTTCTGCAGATCGTTGCGGCCATAAATTCCTGACGTTTTTAAGTTTTTTTTGCAAAGAAGTTGCAGGAAAAAGTGAAAATTGCTAAAATAACTGCAATTTTCTTTTCGAAATGGAAGGCAACTTGTTCCAGTGAGAATAAAATCCCCAATTGTTCGGTGGCTTATGGTTCAGCTGGAAACAACAAGGATTGGTCAAATTTGTAGAAAAGTGTGGGTGCTTTCTACACAATGTCTGTCTACATTTTTCTGGTAAGAAACATCTGTGTTATTATGTTATTAGAGATGTGGTGACACATTTCCTGTGTTAAGCCACCGAAAAGAAGACAGCAAGACAGCAAGAAGAGGAAGACTAAGGAGAATGTCACAGAGATCTGCATTTTTGCTAAAATAGGTCAGTATCTTTAGTTAAATAATGCAGTTTTATGGCCGGTAAAATAATACAGGCTGTTTAATTGTCTCAGTTTACCTGCCATTGGCAGATGAGCCACGTTCATTTTGGACCCTAGCCCTCAGGAAGTGGTCCGTGTGGCCACAGTCAATCACACAGTCACATATAATGCCCTCAAAAACATCTTTTGACGTACACATCCATTACTAAAAAGATCTATGTAAAAATGTTCAGAGCGTATAGATATAATAAATTAAACCAATAGGTCTATTATACCAAAAGTACCATTACCAATAGACCTTTTTTTCCAGACGCCATTTTGACATGAAACAGTAGGGTAAACACAGGTGTTACCAGTGACACTTATTAAGGCTCTGTTCCATCCAGGTCAAACAGAATCAGGGTGCTGCTGTTGTGCATGTCGGCTCACTGGAAAGGCTCCAGCACAACCTACTGTTTCATGTCAAACTGGCTGCTGTGAAAAAGGTCTACAACCACATCAAAGAGTTTTTTCAATCCATTATCTGTGTGCAGTGGCCAGGTGGAACCAGCACATTAGATGTATGTATGCACCCGCAGCAGGAGGTGGATGGGGATGTAGGAAGACTTTCTGACCTGAAGGAATGTTTTAATCATCCATTATTAAATACAGCCATGTAACATCCATGGAAATATGGATAAAATTCATTGTATATGTATTTTTAGGTCTTTATATAAATATATCCTGATAATTCTATCAGTATCTGACATCATCTCAGAAATTAATTGAGAGACTAAGAGAAAAGTTTATGGATAGAATATCCAGATAGGACTTTTTTAATCTTTTATCAAGATGGCACTGGTGCCTAATGGCAGCCATTGCGTCTGCTCCGTTAAAATATTGTTTTTATCATGAGTGACCATCAGGATCTCTCCCAATCAGAAGCCATGGGAGGATCACACCACCCGTTACTGCCACCTGAAGGCCAGGAAGAATTTTTTCCCTCAGGCCAGTTGGGCCTTCAATCACTGACTTTACACACATATATACTGTAATGTATAATCCATCACCTGCCATACATCACTGTCATGTTGCATATATTATTATATGGCACTGGTTATATCCTTTCATTTGTCTGAAACTCACTACTAGTTATATTGTTATATTTATATTGTCATATTGTTTTACTGTTTAATTTTTCTGAACCACACATTCAACATTGAAAAATTATAACTGATCACATTGTTCCTTATTCTCCTCTCCTCCCTTCCTCTCTCTTTCTGCACTCATTCATGTCCCATTAATGCATGTTACTAACTTCACTTCTTCCCCGGAGTTCTTGTGCTTTCTCGTCTCGCAGGTTCTCATGGATCCTGGTGGAGCCTCCTGCCATGGTCCTGCTAGATTGCCATTGCCAATACTGTTGTTACTGTGCACCTGTCTGTCTCTCGCTCTCTCTCTCTCTGTCTGTCTCTCTCTCTCTCTCTCTCTCTCACCCCAACTGGTCGAGACAGACGACCACCCACCTAGAGCCGAAGGATCTGTCCTAGGTTTCTGCCTTCTAACAGGCAGTGTTTCCTTGCCCTTGTCGCCAAGTGCTTGCTCATGGTGGTACTGTTGGGTCTCTGTAATTAATGTTTTAAAGAGTTCGGTCTAGACCTGCTCTATTTGAAAAGTGTCCTGAGATATCTTCTGTTATGAAGTGGCGCTATACAAATAAAATTGAATTGAATTGAATTGAATTCTACTGCTAATTTTTACTCTATTTTATATATTTAACTTGATCTATTTGCAAGGTTATTTTATATTGTATTGTTAGATTCATCTTTATTTTAATTTATCTATTTGTTAGACTTATTCACGAGGTAGGCAGCTACAGATTTCACAATACGTTGTAGTGTGTGTGTCACAATAAAAACTGATCAGAATTTTTTACTTTGATACACTGACTCAAATAAACTAATTAATAGTAGTCCTAAGCATTCCTGAAGGAACTTTTTAAATTTCAATATTCCTCTGTTTGAAACATGTAAGAACATTATTATTATTTTAACGTTCTCTTAATTTAATAAGATTCTGTGCCATAATAGGTGATGTTGCATTGTCAGGCATTGTAACAGAGGATGTTACTCTGTACAGCGACCTGCATACACCTTAGTGTGAAGAGAACCAATCAATCAATCAATCAATCAATCAATCAACAGCCAATTTAGATTAATGAGGATATTGTTAGGCTATATGATACATTTAGAACTATATTATAATTCAAACTATACAGTCAAACAGGATATCAACATAATTATGAAGTGTAATTTACATAGAAGACTCAAAATTGCATTATAGTAATGCAATATTCAATTCATTAGTGAAAACTGTTTGTTTGGAGAAGCAGAATTGGTGAATGCCAAGTTCTCCTGAATCGGTTGAATATGTTTGTATGAGTGGTTTTTGTTTGAGGCCCACAGTCTACACATGTTGTAAGTCTGCTTTCACTCACAATTTGTAATTTCTAGCTTTCACTTCTATCTTATGGTCTTCATCAGCAGACAATGTGACATGCTATTTAAGAGAGAGAGGAGGTTGAAATCTCTGGAAACAGCTAGTAAGTGGACCTTAAGTAAGATTATTTTGCTGGGTTACTGTTTCCAAGGTACTACTTGTTGGCTCAAAGTCTCCCTCTTTGGCTTTATGAAAACCATACTGGCAATACGTTTTCCACCACTGCCAAAAACTTATATTTTCCAACTGGCACCTTAACCAAAGCTTTGAAAACCTAACTTTCCTCCATGAATCATGAACCATCTCCTGCTAGAATACTTCTAAAGTGCTCCCACTCTACCCTTCTATTTCTTCTCTTCCCTCTCCCACTCCCTCTTTCCTCTCTCTCTCTCTCTATAGCCTCCCTCCGTGTCTCTCCTCACTACAGACCTGCGGACATAAAAGGCCCAGGAAGAAGACAATCTCTCTACCTGCTCTGATTGCTGTTGCATAATTAAAGGCAATGCTCAAAGCAGGGGTACTGAGCCCCAGGTGACACACAAACACACCTCCCTCTCTCAATCTCTGATGTCTCTCTCTCTCATCTTTCCTCTCTCTTTCTTCTCCTCATTTCCTACCCTCATTCTCTCTCATACTCTTACATTTCTTTCCTGTCATTGAACCTTTTCTTTACGACTTACATGTACATTTTTGTCCCTTAATGCAGCATTTGAGACAGACAGTTTTATTTGTTCTGTCCAGGTTAGGCTAAGCATGTCCCGGTTCTTACCCTGTAAACACTGACAATGATTCACGGACGTCAAACAAGCGTATTTCCCAAAATGTGATCTTTACATAAATGCTGTTATGGCCTAAATGTGAAAGGCGCTATCTAGAGCCAGTGTTTGGGTTGTCCATTCTGGGCTACTGTAGGAACATGGTGGTTCAACATGGTGGACTCAGTAGATAAAAACGGCTCATTCTAAGGTCACAAAAACTGCTATAATCAGGTGATTATACACTAATGAAAACATACCTATGAATATTTTATTCCATTTCTGACAATAGATCCTCCTAAATGTTACACACTGAACCTTTAAATAAAAGAACCTAAGCATTATCAGCAGAAACTTATTTAAAGTATCCAGAGCTGGTTGGCCTTATATGTTCACCGCGCAGATTGCTCCGCAAATTATGCAAGGGCTACATAAATTATATTCCTTCAACATGAATCACACCCCCTCTCCCCCAAACCTAGACTGTATGTTAGTATTATTATTATTATAATACCCTGTAAATATGGAGCACTTAGCAGCAGTTAGGTAGGAGTGAGAATCCCTATTTGTTTTTGAACATGTTGTATTCTCTTGTTTTCTGGTTTAGGAGCTTAGGCTAGAGATTTGTCATTATGTTTTTTTAGCCAGGGAAGTTTAGGGTTAATACAGAACTTTTGTTTGTTGCTTGGAGCGTTGCTCAGCTCTTAAGTCTGAATGAACTGTTACTCTGAACTTTGGTTCATTCTGTAAAGCTGGCCAGGGACATAGCAAGGAATTTGACCATTTTTTTTGCACAGGAATAGACACAACAGCTAAGAACAAGGACAACAAAACTGAACATAAAACACAAAGAATATAATTTAGTAGTCGTTTTTGTGCCTGACCCTAACCAAACTGCGACCCATTCACAACATTAACCATGCAAGCCTTATTTTGTGTTGATCAGATGTTGCTATATTTATTAAAAAGCTATTTACAGAGCAGCCTCAGAACTGAGCTTTAGGGCTATGTTATGATCAAAAGAGTAAGAACAGGTTTTTTAAAATAAAGGTTTCTATATTTATTATATATATGTATACATATGATATATGTATGATCTCTTTTCCAGGATAGACAGTTGTATTTACAGAATAGACTGAAACAGAGGAGGAACTCAAACAGACCAGTCACCAGTCATAATGGCAACATTACATTTCTAATTGAGCTACAATCCAGTGAAAACACCATCTCCCACCATGTTATTCAGCTATCAGAGGGGTGAAAAGAAGAAGTGATATTTGGGTGTGCTTCATCTACAACCCAGTCCAAAGAAAAGCCAAAAGCGGGGGAGAGATCATGTGGATCTAAACCAAAGGAGAGTGGAACAATACACTGCCATCCATATGTGAAAATTTGCAAATGGTGCACACTGTTACACATTTACTAAAATGTGAAAATATATTAGTTTAATTGAATTTAATTAATTCAAAGTGGGGCTGTAATCAACAGAAGAAAACCTTGGTCGACTGAAATTCTGCCTGCTCTTCAACCAATCGATCGGTCAGTTGGCTAATCAAAGTTACACAATGTTGCCAAGAAAATGAATTCCTGCAGCTGATAGTTCTGAGACTGGGGTCTGTTGCCGGTTATTTCACATTGTGTCAGTTAGTTTGGAGCTGAGTAAATGTTCAGCCCTGCAGTCTCCAGGCTGCCAGCTGAAATTGTGAAAATGGGGGTGTTTTGACTTTTTGAATTATAGGTCTTATCATCTATTAAACCATACAATCATTAAAACAGAACCACATTTGTTAAGTAAAATATATTTAAACAATTACAACAAACAACAAATAAAACCCTAATATGGTTGTGTGTTTGTGTGTTCAAACATGGACAAAGAGAGACATGGGCAGATAATGGGATGGGTGACTGACACCGCGACAAGGGGGGACAGCTAACATAGACTGACCTGAGTCTTTCCTCTCCAGTGTTATCAGCAGTGTGTGTGAGTGTGTGTCGGTACAGGACCCCTCTTTCTGATGTCTATCTGGGTGACAATGATTGTTGGCCAATTTCTTGACACCTCAGAGACCAAAAAAGGGTGAGAGAGAGAAAAAGGAAAAAAAAGAGAAAAAGACAATGTCGACAACATGAAATAATCATCAGTTCCTTCCCTCTTCACCGGGGAAATATGAAACATTAATACACATATTCTCCCTCCTTCTCCTTCACGCTGTCTCCATCCTGCGCTCATATCTCTGGGGAGAAAAACTAATAAAGAGGAACAAAAATACGGGAATGATTAAAAGCTGCTTCTATGCAAGAGAAACATTAAAATCAAACAGAATGGGATGGAGAGAGCCGGCGAGAGAAAGACCAGGAGAGAGTGAGAGGAGAGAGATGGAGGGGCAGGTTAAGACTGACAGAGGAAAGGAGTGCAGGTAGACAAACACGGAACAAAGGGGGAGGAGAAGTAAGAGGTAGATGATGCAGGGAGAAGGCAGGGACTGCCACTCTCTTTGTCTCTGTCAATAGTTAATATTCCAGTGCTTGGCTTGGCACCTCCACCTCATTTCTGTCTGCAAATATTTACCCTGGATAGCCCTGTATTCATGTTTTCTTTGATGTGCACAAACACACACACACACACACACACACACACACACACACACACACACACACACACACACACACACACACACAGTATACACCATACAGAACACACACCTAACTCCTCCTGCCAGTGTCACTGTGGTCAGAGTGTCACATTGAAAGCCAGGCTGACAATATTTCTGTAGGCTTGTGCTATAATGATGTTACTGCAGTCATTCTGTTACACCATTAAATGATGCCAGTAGTGCCTCAAACCAGTAAGATAAAAACAACCGACCCGCCTGCGTGCCCTGAGTCAGCTGGCCTCCAGACTGCACCCCTCCCAGTCGGTTAGCCTTCCTGTCTGCCATGGTCCTGTATTTCCTGTATTTCCTTTTGTTACTCATGACCAATGTTGGGAGTTTAAATGGGCCTAATACTCAATACTTTTGTCCTACCTGAAAATAATGGACAACTGCAGAAGACAGCAGAGAAACGCAGCGCATCCAAGCGCATCAGCTTTATTAACACCACCCGACCTTACGGTGGCTGAAGTCACTTCAAGCATTGTCGGCTTCCTACTAACCAAGTGTGAACCTCTTGGTGACGTCACCCATTGGTTTGGGGATTACTGTTTTAAAGACTCCAGTTTGGCTTTATAGTCGTCACCATGACAGTTTGTCAGAGCTGGTGGACATAACATACTAAGTTGAGCTGCTCTAATTGGC